ACGTTAGGACAGGAATCGGACCATCTCATGGAGACCATCTCCAGTTGGATGGTTTTCTCTATCGACCTAGCGGCCTACCTCTCAACATAGAAACTGCCAGAGGGGGTAAAGATGAGTATGATATTGTATACTTTGCTAGGAGTGGTCTACCGGTTTCTATGTTAGTTTGGGGAGGCTCATGTGATTTTCGACAAGCAGGCAGACAACATGTGCAGGTCCTAATTTTAGTGGTACTCATTTTTTTCAGAGGTCCTACCCACGCATACCCTTTGTCAAGTATGGCCTGCACTATATGAGGGGCAAGACTGCGCTGACTCGGCCCGTGTCTATGAGGGCTCTTTTGGGAGGGTGATTCATCCCTGCGAGTTCAGGATGGTTCGAACATCCAACGACATGCCTTCACACCTGATATTCAGCGACTCCACCACCCGTTGTCAAAGAAGAAAGGTATGTTGAATTCGCCAAATGCAAAGACACGAACATGGGGCATGGAGTAAGACCTGGACCGAAAACGGACGTGTAACCTGTCAACTCAACATTTTCAATCATGGAGATGTTTAAAATACGTGACCTAATTCGTGCCATGCACATCCTTGTGCAATTTGTTTTCTCGTCGAAGTTCAGGATTGGATCATCGTACAGAAAGTTATTGCAGAACGTGTTGGCAAGTCATTGTGAATAGGAACATTGGCAATCTATTGGCAATCTATTCCAATCGCGTTTGCCATGCAAACATCATGTGGCCGCGCTGACCAATCAACAAAAGAACTTGCAAGATGCTAATTTTCATTTGCAAAACAACTCAGAAGAAATGTGTCGGTTGAAAGTTGGAACGCAGGTTTACAAGCCTTTTATGTGGCGGCAGCCATTTAAATTGAACCTGATCTACCCTGATCAAAAGCCATCGCATAAGGACGGGACACTCCACCTGATCCACCTGTATTTGTTGTCCAAGTCAGAAGTTGGATTCTGGTTTGAATTGTGAGCTCATTGAGCTCATACCAGGTACAACCCAAACTAAATTTGAAGATCCAGCATCTAACTCTGGGCCAAGTGAAAGGCTGGCTGAACATCTAAAGATTCCGGGCGGAACAAAGCATATCAGCCATATACTTGATGTACAATTGATCTTCACGATCTGGGCGTTGGATTCCGGGAGAGTGGCGGGACCTTCGCGGCTTTGATGGAAGAGAGCGTGCTTCTCTGCAATGCAATCCTGGCTCGGTGACTTTCGATGAAGTATGTGAACATCACCTGACCTTCATTTTTACATGTCGTCCAGTGAGGAGGTTCTTGCACAGATCATTTGCGTGTTCTGTCTTCCGACATCGTTTGGCGACTTCATTGGTTTGCTCCTCTGACCATCTCCTTCATTGCGGGATTGGACTTTCCGGACGGTCCGGACATTTGTTTAATGAGACTAACATTGGACTGGGTCGATCGGAAAAAGGGCTATTTGTCCCAAGATAGGCGTGACGTACAGAGACGTGAAGATACGAAACACCATGAAACACCTAGTGTCACCTGGTTTTGGTCTTTTGTGGCGAGATACCCGCTGATAGTTATTCGAGCTTGCGCTTCTTACTCTGCCTCTGCTCTTCCCTTCTTTGACCTTGCCTTCCAAGGACTGAGACCTGACTGACCACACCTCATGCAAAAGCGGACGTCATTTGGAGTTCCAAGTCCGGATGGCCCTTGTCATCCATCCAGTGGATGGATGGCAAAGGTCACGCCTCACGGTGCTCGTTTCGCTCTCGTATCCGACCAAGGCCCAGAGGTCGTCGGAGACCCGGTCGGAACGGGGGGGGGTTCCACGGAGGACCGAGGGGTGCCCCGAAGAAAGCCAGACACCAGGGCGGACGGGAGACGAGAAACAGAGATGGCCAGTTGATTTCGATGGTTTGCTTTTTTTTCCATTGGGAGAGTGTGAAGAAGCACCGAAAGATTAATGTTATGACTACCTATCTGATCTAGACAATGGGCCGGGGACATTATAGATTGGTGGCTGTGTTGATTGCATTCTGCGTGCTGGCCTGGATAAAGGAACCGGCACAAATAATAGCCTTTTCAAGAAACAATGCCGTTACAGCGTCTTTTCCGACGGTGTTTTTTTGTTGTGACCAGGTGACCAGGCAGAGACCAAAAAGACACGGCGTTTTTTAAGGCTTGCAAACGGCGTCCTTAGCCGTTAAATGGCATCTTTCCCCATGGACTTTGAGCATATGTTTGTAACCCCTAAAGCGGCAATTCTTTTTGATACGATATTTGTTGATTACTGCGTCTTTTCACTGAAACATGCATCCGGCAACCATTTGTGTCGTTTGAGCTCCCTGTATGCGTTCATGACTGTTTTTCATTTTGGATTTGCATGTTGACAGAGCTTCGCTTTTCGGTGTGAGTTGTTTCTTGCCTCCAATCTGAATGTAATGTCATCATTGTCCCTTTGTATATTTCTGTTCGTGATGCTCCAAACTGGAAAAGCCTGAATCAGTAAATTGGAGCTCACTGGGTGCAAAAGAAGGAAAACCATCCAGGAGCTCCACACAGCACCCGTTCCCACTGGGAGTTTTGAGACCAGTGATTTTGAAGCAATTGAAGAAAAGGAGACCACGAAGACCATGAAGAATCGTTTGTATAGATCATCAATTAAGTCTCATAAGATCTCGTCATAAGCTGATAGCTTGGGAAGACGGTCATGGCCCAACCATACCCAACCTATTCGCTGAGCTGCTGCTCCTCCACTCGCAGGATGCCTTGGGAAAGTATTCCACTCACTGAACACCGCTTTCAGATATACTACAGGCTACACTCTGCTGCAATCTACTATAGGTAAGCTGGTAAGCTTTGATCCTGAAGTCTCTTCCGATTTGTTGACTTCTCAGCTGCCCCACTGGCATCGATATAGGACATGATCCTCGGAACTCCTGAGTAGTCGTAACTTCTGAACTTCAACTTTCGATCGGATACAGATCGGATGTAATGGATACTCGCACGCATCGCTGTCTCATGCACTGCAAGTGGTTGAGCTTGTCCTCGAGCAAGCATCGAACTCAATCAACATAGATCGGGTCTCGATTGTGCAACCCTTTAATTACGGAATGTCGCTGCCGCTTCGGGTGACAACGGCTTCCGATCTTCTTCTGGATCTCGATCGCAAAGCTGAGAAAGAAGTGGTGTTGATAGCATTATGCTTATGCACAACGACCCATCTTGTGGAAATGATTCGGATTCCATCGTAGTCGCAATACTCCTGAGCTTCCTTCTTGTTCACAACTTGACCAGTCTTGCGCTTTTCTAGGGCAATTTTTGCGTGCATTCCCTCAAATGTAGCATCCACATTCAATGGACCTTCACCTGTGTCTGAAGTCGCTCTGGACGGCAAGCAGAAGAACGATCCATCGTCCTCCAAACCAAACTCTGAATGAATCGAATGGAGTTCCTTTCTACTATACTGACTCTGACTATACTCCAACACCCCCTCTTGAGATGGAACGTCTCAACCTCATCCGAACATCGTGTCAAGGGTCTTTCACTGTCTCCCACAACTCCTTTCCGAGATCTTATATAGAAGCTCGCAATGGAATTGGCCAAATCTGAAAAAGCTTTCCAATTCTTTCACTGTCACATGAGCCTTAAGCTGATTTGGGGGAATCTCATCGACTGGCCTTTCATCAAGAGCATCGACGTAGACGTCTTCTGAATAATATACCCACCAGCTGCTCCTCGGTCCGGCATCGGCAGTGAAGTTGCTGCAGGCAAAATCTTTCGACTTCGACGGTGAACTCGACGCACAAGCTTGTCAAGATCTACCTCCCAATGGTAATGATTCCGATTCTTCCTCCTTTCTGGTACTTTCTGGAAAATATCAATCTCCATGCGACTCAGGAACTTCACATCCGTTTAGAACTTGGGTTGGCTCATAGCCATCACTCATCCGATCATCTTCAACCTCTCATCGGTACCTCTTCAGGAAATCTCTCTCCCTGACTCTCTCTCTCTCTCTCATGCTCTCGATGAAGCTCTTCATATTCTTTCTTCTTTCTCATTTTCTCATTTTCTCTTTCTCTCTCTCTCTCTCTGGCTCTGGTATCTTTGGCTTCTCTGACTTCTCTGGCTCTTCCTGAGGCTCGGGCAAAAAAAACTCATCCTTTCCATCGGTAGTCTCAATTCCCTTTGGCTCCTCCTCGGAACAATTCGTTGATACTCCTGCTCTAGATACTTGCAGTACTTGTTCCTACACTTCACGGAATGTGCTGTCTCCTTTCCCCCATAACACGCAGGGCATCTTGATGTCTTGCTACTATCTCCTCCCACACGCTGCCTCCATACATTATCCCCTCTCCAGTCCCACGTATGACTGTTAAAAAATGATGCGCCGTAAAGACATACAAAAACATTGCACCTTTGCCGATCCAACTCTATCCATGTTAGTGCAATACCTATTTTCGCTCCTCACAGAGCCCAGGCAAGAGGTGCCAGACCATCGGAGTTCCGCGCCGGGCGCGGAAACGGGCGACGCCGTGGGCGACGTGGCGGCGACGTGGCGGCGACGTGGCGATACGCCGCCCAGTCTTGGTGAAATCCAAAGGTGAAAAAATGTTACATGTAATGTAAGAAACAGATTTCGCGGTTGATCTGCCTTCAGAGATTCACAGTTCAGTTTGTGTAAAAAAAGGTGAACTCTTTCAACCAGCACTTGGGGCTTGAGCCAAGAGTTTTGAGAGTAAAAAAGATGGGTTAAGGAATAGATGGGGTTCCCACTGCAGTGCCCAGTTTCTGGTGGAGTCCGGTGCTAACTATTTCTGACGGATCATGGGACTTTTGAAGGATCGAGCAATGCAGTAGTGTTTCAAGACCCAGACTACCACCTCTTCATTCTCAGAGGGCCCCTTAAGATTGTCGGCGCAAAAAAACTGCACCACATGAAAGCCCGGGAAAACCATGGCATTGACCAGTTTTTTCTATTTTTTGCGAGGTGTGCAATCCTGTCCGCACTCCCTAGCCACGTGCACAAGCCAGCCATAGTTGAACTGAAAAAAGGATCTTCCGCAAGCCGCTTGCGCCTATGACTGTTTGCGTGGTGAACGGACCTACGATTGCCTACTACACTGGCCATGCCCCTGAGCCCTCCCAGCAGCTGGCTCAGTATCTAAGCCATACACCCAGCTACTACCACTTGGACGTGAAGACGACAAGCGCCTCCTTCCCGGTTACAAAAACCGTTGAGGACTGATGGAAGAACATGTGCAGGAAACGTATGGAAGCTTGGGTGAGGTTCCCCAATCTTGTCCACTCCGTAAGACTTCTATACTAGGATGTTTATGGGTTTTCAAGTTCCCGGCTTTTTGGGGAATCCCTGCCCAGTGTGGTTCTCCCTTTTAGGTTCAATCCCGGTGCAAGTTTGAAAACACGAGGACATGTCACATGTCAGGATATGTCATGAGTGGCCAGTTGTCATGCAGCTGTGGCTAGACGGCTGGGTCAGAGATTAGTCTTTCTTCCGCTGTTTGCGAAAAGGGATTGCTAGGTCAGAGCTGCCAGAACCATAGACCTATCCAGCAACCGACGCACATGATATGTGCCGTATAATTGTATACATTCTGTATAAATTAAATACTATATACAGTATATATACACAGTACCCAAAAAAACATTACATGAGCTATCTATACACATGCTTCAAAGGCAAGGATCTCTTTCTGTTACTATTGGCAAACACCCAAATGGCGGAGAAGTTCTGCGGCACCGCAGTCCCGTATTGCTTCACCAACTCCTGGGGGGTTCCCGGCCCATCCGAGACCAACCCGAAGCCTCCAGGAACCGCTGATCCGTGTGACGATTGCCTCGATGGCCGGTGCCGAGGAGGTTGTGACCTTGAAGCCAAGCATGAGCGTTCAAGATCTCAAGGAGCGCATCACACAATCACGCCTCGGGGCCAACGTCCAGGCCTGTTTCGTCGACCCCCAAGCGACCCGACCGTCCGACCGATCGTTTTTTGTTGTTCTCTCTTCTTTAAACGTCGACGGTCGACATGGAAGAAGAGGGACCCAGAAAGACATCATGGTGACACATGGGAACATCGGACGATCAGATGGAAGACCCACCAAGCGATCCTTTCACTCATTTTCACTTGTGTAATTGGATAGGATCATGGATCATTTGTGTCTTGGTTTGCGGCTTTGACGAATCGGATATGTTCGATCTTGGAGATGTCCTTCTACGCCAGAACTCCGGCGCTTGTCGAAACAAAGAGTCCTGAAGCCTCTGTTCCACCGCTTGGGATCCAGGTCTCCGATATGCGGCTCCACCATTTGGGCTTGCAGCTCCAAGATCTCAAGCAAACCTTGCGCAGTTGCGGCGTGCAAACGGGGAGCACGGTGCAGATGGTGGTGGTGAGCAAGGAGAAGGCTCCACGGAAAGCTCGGCTGTTTCTCCGTGGCACGGAGATGAAGGCCTTTGAGACTTGGATGGTTTTATGATGGGTCGCCCGTTGGATCAGCCCAAAAGATTGAGGCGAAGGTCTTCAGATCAGTTTGAGGTAGAAAGTTGAAACAAGAGATCCAGCCAGATGTAAAGATATGTCGACCAGGAGCTCAGGAGCATGGACTACCCTACGCTCACGACTTTTCGATCTCCAGACAGGATAGGTCCATCAAGATGGTTTCCTTGGAGCAAAGGGCATCGCTACTAGGAGCATGAAGCTACTAGAAGCAAGAAGCTACTAATCCAACGAACTCTTCTTCTGCCAGAATCAATATGAGGATTGGACAAAATCTCAGTATGGTTTGGTTCGGAATGGAAAGAAGAAGGGAGCTATCTCCCCTGCTTATCCCCAAAAGGTCCCTTGGTCGCCAGAGATTGGGCGTCCGTCGCTCATACTGTAGATATATATATATAATATATGTATATAGATATTTTTCAGACAAATTTACACTTTCCAATACGATATAGCTATAGCTATTGTGCAGGGTCAAAGCATGAGTACGTAGTTCAAATGATAATAAGGCGTTTGATGTGTTTTTAATATCGCTTGCCGTGAAACCTCTGTTTCATGAGATGCAGACAGGACGACTTGAGACCGCCCAGGCCCACCCAACCAGTCACCAACCATTCACCACCCAACCTCTGAGCCGTGGGGATCCAGTCGTACCGTACCTCAGAAGGTGATGTGTTCGACACTGTTATGTTTGGGTCCAGTCGTAACTTCGAAGGTACGACTGGACCCTCCAAAGCAGTGGCCATCAGTGGCTGTCAGCACCCATTTCAGGATGTTCATTTGACCATCAGCGTGAGGGAGGCGGCCCAGGAGGCCCGGGCCCTCTGTGGCATGGACGAGTCCTACGTGCTCACCTTCCGAGGAGCCGAGGGATTCGAAACGAAGGATGGCGACCGTCCGGTCCGATCGGGTTTGGTTTGATTCGGGTGTTCGGTGGTATGGTCGATTTTAGTGCGTGCAGCCCCTTTGAAGATGTTGTTTTTGTCCAAATTCCTGCCCAAACACTCCTCGCAGGGGTCTGGACCAGAACCAAACTCTGTTTGAGCTGAACTGCTTAGTTTGGTAAAGCTTATATAATTACAGCATATATATATATATAGATGTACATTCCTGCAGTATACAGGTTTGCACAGTGGTTTGCACATTTTTGAAGCAGATGTCTACCGAACGAAAAGGATGATGCCTGGAAGGGGTAATCACTGCTTAGCAAATTATTCATTCTTTCATTACACGGCTGAACTAAGGTGAAAACCCAATCCTGTCTTCCAGAAGCCTTTTTCGGGTTCCAGGTTCATTTTCTGGAGCGTAGGTCGGTGAAAGATACTTGTGGATGACCGGCTGCAGCAGCCCTTTCCTCCGGTTCCAGGACATGTTCTGGACGAGAGCATGAGCTTGAAAGAGGCAGGAGTGGAAATGGGGAACGTCATGAAGCTGACACCACGAGAGGATGCACATTGCTGATTCACGAGGTGGCTTGGTCGCTTTTCTTCTTTCCCTGCAGCCCATGTCTGGGGGAGAACTTGACATGTTTGCCTCGGTAGACCAAATTGATCTTCCTTCCTCTTGACTTCCATTCAAGATTGCTTAAGACGCCAGGGTTTCTGTGAAGCACCCCACCCATCACCCATCTCCCATCGCTCATCGCCAGCTCCTAAGGCGTTTGCGCCCGCGTAGTTCGCAACGAGCCACCGGTGGACTCGGTTTTCTTCATGGGGCACCGGTGGTGGCTGGGCGCGCCCTCACCCTCGCGGCCGTCTTGGGCCGAAACGTGCGGATGGGTGCCGGCACCTGAGGTACAGATGCTGGGTGACCGGCGAGCCATCCATTTTTAGGGCTGCTCCAAGGTAGAATTGGTGTTGGAGAACATGATCATGGCTGTCTCCGGTGGAATTTGATGGATTTGGGAATGGGTCGGTGTTGGTGGTGAAATTGTGTCCAAGCAGACTTGGGAGCAACCCCGTGTTATCTTATAAGCCCCTTGGTGCTAACAACTTGAACCAAGCACAAGAAGTTATCGCGCAGCATGCCTCCTCAGCGCTATGCACTATTATCAACATTTCCCAATCATTTTATTTCGATCTTCAATCGATTCCTTTTGCACAACCCTCTGCACAAGGATCAGCATTTTCAGCTAGATGCAATGGGGGAACCATTTGAAGGTCCCACATAGACGCTGAGGATAAATCGGCAATGCGCGCACTCTGCAGACCCAATTCAATGAGGCTCGGCACGGACCAGGTCGGCAAACGCGTGGATCTCATCCCCTGTGGCTTTGTCGTTTTCATGCACGGATCTGTCTTCCATTTTAACATAGAAGATGATAGAAGGATGTTTTCAGGTTGGACAAATCTCTTGTTTGGTGGAATGACCGCACAGATCAAAGACTCAAAAAACACTCTTCTGTTGGTGACGACATGGGGAGGTACTATATAGGGGTGCTCATCCTTTGATCAGATGTCATCCACCGTCCTATCTACTTGCAAACTGAGCCTGAACTTTGCTAACGGGGATCAGAGCCTGAACTTTGCTAACGGGGGCTAAAGCCAGCTCCTGTCTTTCTTGCTTTGAATCCTGCGTGGACCTGTGGTCGCCAAGAGCCTTTTATCTGGGATGGCTTACACATTATGAATGATTCTGACAATGATTCTGAATACCTGCGAGATCCCAAGACCCCTAATCTTGCATATAGACTTGACCAAAAGCTTCGCTTTGGGTGTGAAAACCTTTTTTTGGAGAGCCGAACCCACTTAATCAGAGCCGAATCATGCGCGTGTTGGGTCGTGAACGCCCACGTGACGCGTGTGTCCTGTCGCTGGTGGTGTGGCACCGTCTGGCAGATTTGAATCCGCCGGGTGGCAACGCCCAGGGTCCGAACGGCCGAGGATGTCGGCTGTACAGAATGAAGAGCTCTTGCATAGACATCAGTATCAGAGATCTGCTGCCAACTCCCAGGAAAGCACGGCCGGCAGCATGCTCAGTGGGCTGAGGTGGTTTCAAAACGTGTTGGAGATGTGAACAACAATCCTTGGAGGTTGACTTGATTCGGACCTTCGTCCCGCAAAAGACTCTGAACACAGAAACGGCAAGAGCGCGTGAGAGAAGCACGGCCGGCAGCATGCACAATGCTCCAGGGGAAGTCCTGTGTCAGATACCCTTTAAGAGAACATTATGCCAAGATGCCATGTCCAGTGGTTGCCCAGAGGCCCACGGATTTGTGTAAAATATGGTGTGACTCATATTTTTTGTTCATGAGTTGCAAACCCCACTCGAAAAAAAGACCCACTTTGGTGGCTTCAACCCCCTAAATTAGTTTTCTTCATCGCTCCAGAAGGAGCATGTCTTGTCCCTATGTACCATCAACATAAACAGCTTTGGAATTTCACAAATTACTGCTGGTGGTCAGGGGCATTGTATATGGCAGTGATGCTGCACTGGGACCGCGCAAATTCACGAAGGTGCTGCGCAGTGTAAGTCTGTGCACACTGCCACCGGACGAACTGATACAGACTTAGCATACCCTTTCGATAAAGTTGCGGCATGCTGCGTGCTTGGGTGGTCAGAGCTCAGTTGGGTTGGTTCTCAGGGCTGTACCTGTTTTGGGGACATATACTTTAACTTTCTTACACTTTCTTTACCTTTAAGCATGCACAGAAGCTTTGGTGAAACAAAGGACCGCTTGCACACGCAACTATCGTTTGCAGAAGTTTTCCTGGGCATGCAATCTTCCACTACATTCTGGTATCTCCTCCATTTGAGAGCGAGGATTTGTTGATGTGTGAGCTGAGTAAAGCCAAAGCCACTGGTGTGTAGAGAAGAACCTTTTGCATCCTTTTGCAATTTCCAAGTCTCCTGAGAATTCTTGCTGCAGTTGGTTCCATGTCACAGCAGCATGACTTGCACCCAGATAACCTGAGACGCCTTTTTTGGAGGGGCATGCGTGACATGTAAATTGCTGTGATGCCTCAAACTCCTCCTACCGGGTGCTTTAATACATACGGATTTATCTGAATTTATACAAAACAACGGCCAACACCGTGTTACCGTGCGAAACCATGGGGGCCATGTTTCAGAAGACCATTCAGAGTGCAGCGTGCAGTAGAGGAGGTTGGGGAAACATCCACCAACAAGCGACCCCCCCTCTTTAGATGTGTATTTGACTGTATGTATGTGTGTGTGTGTGTTTGCGCGCGCGACTGTATGTGTCTAGCCCAAAGATGATTTTGATTTCTGTAACTATTTAAGTTTCTTTCAAACTCTTTCAAACTCTTCATTGACTGTCAGTCTGTACACCAAGCTATATACTTGGACTCCACACGTTGGTGACGGTGACACGAGCCTCCCAAATCTCCCAAGCAGAGCTCCCATTGTACGCAGGCCGCCTGCGGCGCCAGCGGCGCCCTCGCCGTATACCCCTTCAGGAGCGGGTTCGTTGACCCTTCTCGGCGACAAGGGTGATTTGATCAAGTGGAATTCCCATGGATGGACTTCTCCATGGAATCCCCATGGATGGAGCACTCCCATCCAAAGAACCAGAGACGGGGTGGACATGGTGAAGGTTTTCTGTCCAGAACACAGCGAGGTGTTCTGTCCAGCGGCCCAAGCAATAGGAGCAATGTTCGCTACGTTCGGAGCATTTCGGGCATCGCTACGAACGGAGCGTTCGGACGCTCCGAATGGGGCTCCTGGCCTTACTACTAGTAACAAGAAGCTATTGGGGGCTCCTGGTATCGCTACTAGGAGCAAGGACGCTACTAGGGGCTCCTGGCCGTACTACTAGTAACAAGGACGCTACTAGGGGCTCCTGGCCCTACTAGTAACAAGAAGCTATTAGGAACAAAGTGGTTGGGGACATGGGACTCATCAAACACGTAGAGCATTGAGCTCGTTTTCCACGGCGCAGCTTGGAAGCTCGTGCTCCCATTTCCACATGGGACCAAGAGGGAGGGACCCATAGGGACCCAAAGAATGCCTGCTTTGAGAAAGGAACATGACCCAAAACTCATAGGTTGAGGGGTTTTGGCGGGTTTATCATTGTTTTGGGTCCTCTTCTACTGGTATCAGCGATCCCATGAGGTTGCCCTCAGTCACAGACAGGTAGACCTTCATGTGCAAATCGCTCCCTAGTATTCAGTACATGTCCCAAAGTGCTCAAAAATGCGATTGCCATGCATATTTGTTTTCACCGAGTTGAGACAAGCTTTCTGAGTGCACTCAGCACACTCTCAGGAGTTTTGCCTGTCAACGTCATTCTGTATATGTACTGACACACCCAGATTCACACAGGATTCATGCCCTTTCGTTGGTCATCGGATGAAGATTGTGAAACCAGAAACTTTTGAGTTGCAACCACTCTCAATCAATGCGTGCTGTGTGTGATCAAGTGCTTCTGACCGAGCGTCTAGCTCTCAACGAGTCTTCTGACACTTGCTATGCCAAAGAGCATGCAACAAAAGAACATGCAACCACCAAGTGCTGTAAACTCTACTGATCATCTGTCTTGGTCTGTCACCGTATCCCAGAAAGCCCTGACCACCGACACCGAGTCACCACTAGAAGCCCCAGAAAACACTTCGATCAACCAAAAAAACATTTCTCAAATTGGAGGGAAGATCGTCCGCCTGAACAAACCGACGCCTCAGTCGCAGGCACAGGATAGACCACCAAGGACAACACGGACCAAAACGAAAAACAACGCATCGCCCTTGAATTCAGAAACGGCTGCAGATTAGACCACAGAAAGGCATGCGAGAGCGATCTCTCTTCCACCGTGCTGTTCGTCGCGGGAATTTCCACATGAGTCGCAGACCACTGGTCTTAGAAGCTGGTCTTTGCTGGTCTGGGTGGTGCATCGGAACTCCATGGAACAGGTCGTTTCGGTCCGGTCTAGCTGGCGGTCTGATAGTGCGAAGGTGCTCTCTCTCTCTCTCTCTCTATAGATACTCTTAAGAAGAGGCGAGAGAACCATGGGGAAAGCAAGCCCTTGACTTCTCTTAATCCTTTAAGTCATGACCGACCTTCTAGGCTCCACACGCCTTTTCGAGATTCACCCCAGTGAAATTTGATAGGAACTGAGGCCCAGCTGGAAGGTGAGGGTGAATTCCTTGATGGACAGGCTTACTACTAGGAGAGTCTGCAAGGCAAAGCAGCAAAATGACGAACACCTTGAACGTTGGCTTCAGAGTGAAAGCCGACCATTGCCTCGAACCCAAGAATTGAAGGTGCATCCTTCCAGCAGAATGTTTAGTTCCCTGGCAAAAACACGTCAAAGACTTACGTCCAGTCCGACGCCCATGATTCTTGCGGTTCCCTTGGCGACACAAAGCCGATGGTCCACTCCGTGTTGATTCCTTCGCTCCAAGCGCCAGGCATGGCACGTCCTGGCGTGCCGAGTGCCTCACGCTTCAGCCACTGGGCTTGAAGGAGGTATCTGATGTTGGAAGAAAGGGGCGAGGTTCCAAGCTTGATATTCTATTCTCGTATATTTTGATTATACAGCTTCAATACAGTAGGAATGCACTTTCCAAGCTCCATGTACTTGTTTCTTTACCTTTCCAATATTCTCATTCAGCCAAGTGGGCTGCAGAAGAGGTGGCACTCTTGTTTCCGGTGCTCAAGAAGTGGTTCATTTTTCCAAGCAAGCTGGCCATGACCACCCGCACACTGCCCAGGTGCCAGCCCGCCTGCGCCGGGCACCTGGTTTCGATGCTTCGTTGGGTCTGGCGCTGGCGCCGTGTTTTGGGATCTTTTGGGAACCATGCTTAACATGGTTGTGGGATGTTGTGGGGCAGATGTTCTGGTTCCCAAAGAGAGAGAACTGGATGACAGGGTGGCCCGAAAGCACACTAGGAGATGACACAAGGTAAAGATGACGATGACAACAATGATAAT